GCAGGGTGTCGGGGTGCCCAGGGTGCCAGGGTGTTGGGGTGCCAGGGTGCTGGGGTGCCAGGGTGTTGGGGTGCCAAGGTGTCAGGGCGATGGGGTGTCAGGGGGACCTGGTTTCAGGGTGCCTGGCATGCCAAGACAGCAGGGTACTGAGTGCCAGGGTGCTGGGATTCCAGGGTGCTGGGGTGGCAGGGTGTCGGGGTGTCATGATGCCAGGGTGTTGGGGTACCAGGGTGCTGGGGTGCCAGGGTGTTGGGATGCCACGATGCCAGGGTGTTGGGGTACCAAGGTGCTGGGGTGCCAGGGTACAGGATGTTGGGGTGTCAGGGTGTTGGGGTCCATGATGCCAGGGTGTTGGGGTACCAGGGTACAGGGTGTTGGGGTACCAGGGTGCTGGGGTGGCAGGGTGTTGTGGTGCCATGATGCCAGGGTGTTGGGGTACCAGGTTACAGGGTGTTGGGGTGCCACGATGCCAGGGCACTGGGGTACCAGGGTGCTGGGTGCCGTGGGGGTGCTGCCCCCCACCCTGAGCAACTTCTCCCCCCCCCAGATCATGAGCCAGAACTGAGCGTTGGCGACGGCGACCTCCCCGTGTGGCATCGGGCAAATAAACCCACAGCTCTGGCACGGCGCGTGTCCCTGTGCTGCAGAGGGGCGGGGGGTGGCACTGGGCGAGCGGGCACGGGGGTGCCCAGATACCAAGGGGATGGGCTCCCAGAGACAGCCAGGGGACAAGAGGATGGGGTCCCAGAGACACCCCAGTGCCACAGGGACAGTTCACCCTGAGGAGCCACGATGCCGTGGGGATGGGCACCCAGAGGTGCCCCGATACCAAGGGGATGGGCACCCAAAGACAGCCAGGGGACGAGCACCCTGAGGTGCCCTGTTACAGGGTGTTGGGGTGCCACGATGCCAGGGCACTGGGGTACCAGGGTGCTGGGTGCCGTGGGGGTGCTGCCCCCCACCCTGAGCAACTTCTCCCCCCCCCAGATCATGAGCCAGAACTGAGCGTTGGCGACGGCGACCTCCCCGTGTGGCATCGGGCAAATAAACCCACAGCTCTGGCACGGCGCGTGTCCCTGTGCTGCAGAGGGGCGGGGGGTGGCACTGGGCGAGCGGGCACGGGGGTGCCCAGATACCAAGGGGATGGGCACCCAAAGACAGCCAGGGGACGAGCACCCTGAGGTGCCCTGAAGCCACGGGGATGGGCACTGTGGGGCACCGTGGTGCCGCGGGGATAGGCACCCCGAGATGCCTTGATGGTGCAGGGATGGGGCCCCCTTGGGTGCCAGGATGCCATGGAGAGGGCCCCCTCAAGGCACCTGGATGCCACCTGGCCCCTCCAAAGTGCCCTGATGCCACAGGGATGGCCACTCAGCATCCTGTCCCAAGGGGGATGGGCACCCTGGGGTGCCCTGAGGTCATGGGGATGGTCGCCCCCTCAACGTGCCCTGATGGGTGATGGCCACCCAGTGTTGTCCTGTCACCACAGGAACAGGGTCCCCTTGGGTGCCAGGATGCCACGGGGAGGGTCCCCTCAAGGCACCTGGATGCCACCTGGCCCCTCCAAAGTGCCCTGATGCCACAGGGATGGCCACTCAGTGTCCTGCTGCAAGGGAGATGGGCCCCCTGAGGTCATGGGGATGGTCACCCCCTCAATGTGCCTGGATGCCATAGTGATGGCCACCCAGTGATGTCCTGTCACCACAGGAACAGGGCCCCCTTGGGTGCCAGGATGCCATGGTGATGGCCCCCTCAAGGCACCTGGATGCCACCTGGCCCCTCCAAAGTGCCCTGATGCCACAGGGATGGCCACTCAACGTCTTGTCCCAACGGGGATGGGCCCCCTGAGGTGCCCTGAGGTGCCCTGAGGTCATGGGGATGGTCGCACCCTCAATGTGCCCTGATGCCACGGTGATGGCCACCCAGTGATGTCCTGTCACCACAGGGACAGGGCCCCTTTGAGTACCAGGATGCCACGGGGAGGGCCCCCTCAAGGCACCGGGATGCCATCTGGCCTCTCCAAAGCGCCCTGATGCCACGGTGATGGCCACCCAGTGACGTCCCATCACCACAGGGATGAGCCCCCCCCTTTGGGTGCCCCGAGGCCCCGGGGATGGCCCCTCCAGGCGCCCCAGGCCAGCAGGGCCATGGCAGGGACTCTCCCGCCGCCTCCTGCCCTCCCGGCCGGGCCGTCGCTTCGCAACCGCTGCCACCAGCGCGTGACCGGGAACAAAGAGCCCTTTCACCGGCCCGATGCGATGAGGCTGGCATGGGTGCTGTGAGCTTGGCATGGGTGGTGTGAGCTTGGCATGTGTGGTGTGAGCTTGGCATGGGTGGTGTGAACCTCATACGGGTGCTACAAAGCACGGCAGGGGTGCTGCAAAGCATGGTATGGATGTTATGAACCTGCTATGGGTGCTACCGCCCTGGCACAGGTGCTGTCAGCCTGGCACGGGTGCTACAAGCCTGGTCATGGGTGCTACAGGCCACCACACGGGTGCTACAAGCCATCACATGGGTGGTACAAGCCTGACATGGGTGCCTCAAGCCTGACGTGGGTGCTACAAGCCACCACATGGGTGCTAGCATGGGGATGGTCGCACCCTCAATGTGCCCTGATGCCACGGTGATGGCCACCCAGTGATGTCCTGTCACCACAGGGACAGGGCCCCTTTGAGTACCAGGATGCCACGGGGAGGGCCCCCTCAAGGCACCGGGATGCCATCTGGCCTCTCCAAAGCGCCCTGATGCCACGGTGATGGCCACCCAGTGACGTCCCATCACCTGTATAAGTTTTATTGGCCCCTTGTCACCGCGTCCCGGGGACCTTTGCTCTCCCCGCAGTGCCCCGGCATCGCCGCCGCCGGCCCCCGCGCTGCTGCGGGCCCTTTGCTCGGGGATGGCGGGGAGGGGGGGGCTGAGGCCACCCCAACTCGTGAAGCCTGGTCATGGGTGGTACAAACCACCACACAGGTGCTAGAAGCCTGACATGGGTGCTACAAGCCTGGTCATGGATGATACAAGCCTGACACAGGTGCTACAAGCCTGGCATGGGTGCTACAGGCCACCACACGGATGCTACAAGCCTGGTCATGGGTGCTACAGGCCACCACATGGGTGCTACAAGCCTGACATGGCTGCTACAAGCCTGGTCAGGGGTGGTACAAGCCACCACACCAGTACTAGAAGCCTGGCATGGGTGCTACAAGCCTGGGCATGG